CCAGCCCTTGTTGAATAGCTGGCCTTGGAGAGCAAACAAACCCGTTCACAGACTTGACCCACCATCGTTGTAACATCCAAGTCAGCTCGATCCAACTCGAGCCGGAACGGCTTGTCTCCGCGCTGATTCACGGTGATGAGGTCTGGCAAGCGTAGGATAGGCTTCATGTTTTATCCTGGTGAATCTTCCGCGTAGGGCGCCAATACTCGGATTCTGAAATTACCCGCGTCGCACTACGAACTATAACCAGCAGCTTAGCTTTGATGGCCCACAATGCACTGAGTTCGAATTATCAAGCGATATACGAAAATAAAAGAGGTAGGGAGGGGTAGATAAAACCGCCTCACACTCAAGAAGCCGGACAACGTGCGGTACCGGAATAGAAACTAGGCTTAAACCTTATGGCCATACTAAACGCCATGACCATCGCCGCCAAGTAGGTCCAAGCACCTAAACTATTCAGTACCACAGCCAGCTGGTCCACCTCGTCACCGCGCTGCATAGGTTGTGCAGATCAGCGCCTAGTAAGGCCAAACACACCATGTAAATGACTCTCGCTCTGCAACCAGTGCAATGTCCGGCCCACTAACTTACCTCTTTCTCCCCCCGGTCCAAGCGTTATATACGTCATGCCAGGTCGACACCGACGATGTATCCTTGCCACCAAGCATCTCACCGCTGCACAGTACACGTGAGTGGCCACGTTGACCCAGCGTACGGTGCCACGACGGTTCCCTGTGTGGATCCCATTTAATACGATCGTGCTTCTCAAGCCACCTACATCCCCACTATTATTATTATGATATTTATATATATATATATATCCGTAGACCATAGCACCACACCAAAGAAAAGAAAACCCCCATGGCTCACAACCACATCTGGAGCCCCCCCCTCCTGGACCTCTCATCTATAGGTTAGCCCAGCATGGGGTGGATAGGGATAACTGGTCGCCGCTTACTCTCCACACGTCGCACGGCCAGTGCAAATCTCAACCGATCCCACATTTTAGGTCGGAAAGCCCAGTGTACCGGCTGACCTCTGCCTACTAGCGTCACCGTACCCTGAAATACCAGCTATAGAACGTCAGGTTGGCCAACCAATGCTTTACAGTAGAGTATAGCCTATCAGCCCTCGAAAATCTTGTAAAATGGATTTTATTTATTTATTTATTATTGCTGATCAGACCCAAAGTACACCGAGCCCCGCGGTGTGTTTTGATTAGCTGAGCTTTACCAACTCGTACGACCGATTCGTTCGCGTTAGGGCTCCTCAACCCCAACGAACACGCTCTACGGTTGGGAATCGAAAATCTTGTACCACTTGGTAGGTTTCATAAACACAGTCCTATATTTTCACTTTTACCAACCTAGTCGGGGTGCCTCCTCTCCCCCCCTCCCCCTCCAGTGTCACAAATGAGATCTGCGTCCCGTTACGATGAACACTAGCCACTATCGGGGATGACAGACCTCACAATTTGTGGAAAATAGTGAATACGATTAGCACCATAATCGATCCTTATTTAGCAGAAACTTATGAGCGGCCGGTGGGCGTGCTGGCCCAATCGACCATCATATGTAGACCTGTGAGGTGAGCAAAAGTGATGAAAAAGCAATGAGTAGCGATTTTTTTTTGATTTGAAAGCGAAAGCCCCGTATCAGTGATCCGGAGGTGTTCGAAAATAAATTGAAATGGCAAACTAGAAATAAACACGGTTTAATGGGGTTGGCCAGTGTGGGTGCGCTCGCGTGCGTGCGTGTGTGTGTGTGTGCGTGTTTGTAAACGAGTATAGATGATGAGGTGGCGCTCTATGGTCAACAAGCAATCTTGTCCTATCGGAGCGACCGAGCCGTCTTGTCTATTTAGTTTTTGTTGGCCGTTCGCTCGGCCACGTAAGCCTTCAGCTGGTCACCGCCAAAGACCATGCACACGGTGAGGTAAGTGCTCAGCATGATACGTGGGGTGACCCCGCGGTAGAAGCCGAGGAACCCGCTTTGACCGTAAATGTACTTGGCGGTGGTCCAAATGTTGAGGTTGGCGGGCCGGTCGACCGCCTTGGCCTGGCTCTGCATCTCCACACGGATCACCTCGATGGGCTGGTTCCAGCAAGCGAGGGAGCCACCGACGACGGAGGCTATGCGCAGAGGGTCCGAGAAGCGGTGGGAGTGGGAAAGAAGGCAGTAAGTCGTGTGCAAGGTGAGGAGAAGGTCAGGTAAGATACAGCCAGCAACCGGGAAACACTCCTCCTCCAGGAGCTGGTGGCTCAGTTCGGTCTGGCACACGCCACCAATAACCACGAATCGTACTTACATAATAGGCGCTCCATGGTGGTCAGCTTGCGGCTCGTGTCCTTGCCCTTGATCAGGGATTCAGTGACACGAGCGATACCCAATCGGGACCCCCAGTTGGTCATTTGGCGGACGGCGACGGCGGATACGCCCTTGTTAAGCCCGACGATGCCCTCGCGCTTAAACACGTCGGCCGCGGTCTTCCAGGTCGACACATCACCGGCGGGGTTCTTGTGTTTCGTCACTTCGACGGTCTTCATGAAGGTACAGAACCCCATGGTTGTGTACGCCTGCGCCACACCGCCAAACATCCCCCCGAATGCACCTGCCGCCGCCGGGGAGAAGCCCTGCCGGCGGAATAGATACTCGATCTCCGAGGAGGCGAAGAGGAGCACACCACCCTTGGTCGAAGCCTCGATCCAGGCCCACTGTTCGCAATAGAGGTTAATGAGGAGGGAAAGCGGGGGAAGGGGTTAGTACGTGCTGGGGGGGCATTCGGCTAGGGGAGTCGCACACCAGGAACGAGCGAAACACGGTGTGCCAGCCGTAGGACTCAATCACATGGTCCTGGCATCCCGTCCATGCCTTCGCATTGGTGCAAACGGCATGTGACGGGCCTATGGGTGTCTCCACCACCGCCGCCAGTCAATCATCGGCTGATAAGTCACCCCCAAAGCTGTTCCCCGCCTAAGCAGACATCCAGGGTGGCGGAGGCATACCAGCGAAGCGTCGCTTCGCACGCCGCGGTAGTACAGACCCCGAGCCGGAGAGGGGATCCGGCTAGAGATTAAACCGAAGTATGGAGGCCGGCAGTTGAGTCGATTCTGCCTCCTTGCCAACCTAGGGGGGGGGGCTCTCGTCCGCCGCCCCTCGATCAACCGTCGCCTCCCTAAAAACGCCTCACTCGGTCTAGGCGCGCGAGAGCCGGGGTGGGGGAATTAAGGAAGCTCTCTCGAGCACTCCAACCCTTGCTCCAAAAGGACAGCTCTGCAACACAGGCGCCGCATCACTTACGGGAATCAAGCCCTGGTAGAATCCGGCGAGGCCGCCTCGGGCGTAGGTTTTCCGGATAGCCGACTTGAGGCTCTCGCCACGGTGGGCAGCCATGTGCGTCTTGAGCACTTCAAAGGGCTGGCCCAGGGTCGACACCTCAAAGGTCTGAATGAAGGCGCCCAGGGCGATGTTGGTCCATGAGATGGGCTTTTTTTGGATGGCAGGGGGTTGAGCGGTGGCCATGGTGGAAGGTTGGCGTGTAGTATTGCGTGCGTGTGTGTATGTATGTGCGATGGGGGGGAGGCGAAGCTGGAGGAGAGATGCAGGCGTAAGATGCGAGAGATGGGCAGGCCGATGGGAGGGTGGGTCGGATGAGGTAGAGCAGTGTAGGCTGGACGGGGGGAACTGAAGTGCTTGTAGAAGCCTCTTTAGCAGGCAGCGACGGACTTGCAGGCGGGGCGCTTTAAGGAACAATACGGATGTTATCGGAGACTCTCCTTAATTGTGCGGACGTGGCTGGGGTGATTGTTGGCGGTGATGAATAACGTTCTCCCGTTTGAGGCGGCGGGAGGTTTGCCAGACGGCGGGGTTGGCCCCGGCCGAATACCGCCGAGCCCCTACGAATACCTCCCCACTCATCGGAACCTCCACCCCCATGGCCCCATATTTATCAGACCATCCCAGTCGGCGGCTCCACGGCATGTGTGTGCGAAGGGAAGTGGGTCGGGCCAGCTCGCAGACCAATCCCTTCAGAGAACTCTGTCCCTACCTCCCAACCTAATCAATGACTCATTGCCATCCCCAAGCCCAGAGTGGCCCGTGGGCCTTCCCTGGCGTATCAGGCCAGCTGGGGGGGGGGAGCGTTTGCTCTGGACACCCAGGGGGCCCTGGCTCGTCTCCACGCCTGCCTGCTCCCGCTCTGTTTCGTTCCTCACACCCCTTATACCCGAGCACTATTTCCATGCCTGGTCTACTTCTAGAGGCCCAGTGCGTCCTGCCGCTCGAGGGGCAACTCGGGAGGGAAGGGATTGCGGGAGGGCAAAGCCACGGCCCCATTATCATGGGTGGGGAAGGTCAGTGCGAGAGCCAACCCAAGGAGGGAGGCTACCTGCATGGCCGGCCTTCCCACAAGGCCAACGTCGTTCCGTGGCCAGTGGCGCTGCCAACGTGCCCTGCAGCAGGGGGTCCTTCTTTTGATAAAGTACATGGTCCAGCCAGTATACCTAAGTAAGGGTTGCATACTGGCCATTCAGCTCCCCTCACCAGGTTCGTCTACGGCTGTGAACAGGGCCAGCGGACTAGGCAATGGTCCGAAGGGGGGACGCACCCATCGTGGAAACGGGCTGGCTCGGGTACACACCTGCCGTGGCCCAGAGGTCAAACAGCCAACCAGTTTGTCCTACAAGCGAGTGTAGATCCCTCGACGGTCATCGCCTAAGGGGTGGGCAGGAGTGGCCGCGGCATGCAAGCCGATATACGGGGGGAAGGGGGTCCCGAGCTGCCAGTGAATAAAAACACTGCGAAATTTAACCAATGCGGTACTACAATAGTAGGCCTCGGGCTAAGAAAACCCAGCAGCCCCCATAAGGGTACTAGAGGTTGTTCGTTTGTTAAATCAAAGTGGGAAATGGATGAAAGGCATCCCAGGACATGAACTACCAGGTTCCTATACGAAAGAGTCACAATTTATATATGTAATATTTATCAACTTTCAACCAAGGGGTTCTAGCTCATATGGTAGAGCGCTCGCTTTGCATGCGAGAGGCGCGGGGATCGATACCCCGGAGCTCCAAGACTTCTTTTTTGATTTTTTCTTCTTGTGGCTCGGCTGGTCTCTTTTTTTTTTCGTCTGCTACCAACACTGTGGGTGATTGAATCTTAATGCGTAACCACTGTGGTATTCCGCATTGCTGCGGCTGAGTTTCCTAGTATGTATATTTCTGATTAATGATCGTACCCACAGCATGGGTATTAGTGTAGATGTGCAATCCACTTGTAGAAATCTTAAATTCAGGCTGCCCCTCCGGTGAGCTAAGCGTGGATGCCCATACGCCTAATCTATCAGCCAACGTTCTCTGACGAAGGATAGTCCGGTCCTAGGATTGAAGCCATTGTGACTTAGTCTTTAGGTGGTACGCACCTGTCAAGTTCAGATCCAAACTATATTGAGTGTGCTCATGGTTGACTACAGGTGCATTGCATTCATCAGTGCGACCATCCACACCAATGGATCATTATACGGTGAGCTATATATTTAATATTTCTTAAAATAAACATCAACAAGCGGACAGCTGAACTTAATGACGCTGGTAGATAGTAATATTTCCATCGGATACAAGTCCCTAAGGGGATAGAAAATGTGGATTCTATGGAGAAGGCGATGGGATCGTCGACCTCCTTAAGACTCTAGCCGGTCATACGGATCGCATCTGCAATACGTTGTTCGTACTCGGAAATGGGCTTTCCGGGCTTCTCATGAGTCGAACCGTAGTTCAGGTTCTGTTTCTGTGCCCCCTTATTATCAGTGGGCCCTGTGACGCGTGGGGGCGATTTGGTGCTATCGGGCGACTGGGAGCGGGAATGAGGTAAACATAGGAGATTACATATAGCGCCCTTGATATCCGGCAACGTTGGGGCAGCAAGCGTGGTCGACAAGCCCACGCCGAGGACCAAAGCAGCCGCCAGCGTGATCATCGTGGAGCGCAGCATGATAATTGATGGTGATCGGGTCGTATATGGCTATTGGTGAAATGGATGATGGGCGTAAATAATCGCTCAACGATGTGAGGTGAGTTAGAGTGGATGTTATTCTTGGTGTTGACAGGAGGGAGCGCACAATCCTAATTTTTATATCCGATCCGACGTTGAAAGACTGGACTCGGTTGCTTGGTAGCTTGACAAGTCAACGTTTGAGAGCTCTTGGTTCCTCCTATTCCTAATACTCCAATGGGAAATCCTGCCAAGTTACGCAATAAAAGTAAATAGAATCATTTCCAAAGAGAAGGAAATACGTGTGGTTGGGACCGTAGGGTGACTAGAGGAGGTAGTGACTTATCTAAGGTTGATAATACATGTAATAAATAATAAAAACGACTATACAGCCCATGGTACACGGTGGCTTTGTGTGGCTGAGAGCCAGCACATGTTCACCTTTTATGCCTATGGTGCATAGGCTTACGAGTCGGCTGACACTACGTTCAATTTTAGTACGAGCCGAGTAGAAACCAACGCATCGCTACAATTTTCTACTATCCAAAACAGTACCGCCCGCATCCCATCGTCCTTTCCCCTTTCACGCGGACATGTTGGCCGAAGTGCTAGTTTCGGTATCTTTTTACACCTCTCTACAGTGTCGCGCACAGAAGTTGTAGGAGAGATAGAGAAATAACGAGAGACGATAGGTAGTACCAGTGTACGCCTCTCCAAAGCCTCGTAGGGATAGGTGGCTTATCATTTGATTGGAAAGCACCATGCAACTACAACCACTACGTCAGCCTCCGCTTTGTTATCACGAATGTATCTATGGGACAGACGGTCACTTTTTTTTTTCCCTCAAGCACAAGATAGAACAAGGGTGACCTTCGACGATGTAACCGTAAGCTAACAGTGTAGAGGGTTGCCTTCCTTCCGTAGAAGGAGAGTTCCTTTTTTGTCCTCGAACCTCAACAAAAAAATACCAAGGGCTGTTTGGCCCTGCAGTACCTTCTGGCCTACCGTCCATTTATTTTTTCACTGCTAGCTGTTAAGTCATCCAGACTCACCTCCACCCCACACCTACAGACTTCCGCATCATTATTTTAGCTTGTATTACAACGATTTCCGATTTTCCTCTTATCATATCCTTGTGTATTCCCCGGGTAGCTTATACATGGTGCTCAGACCAAAAGAGGTTCGATCATATAAGCAATATAAAGGAAACTACATTCCTCCAGCACATCGATTTACTCCCCCCATTTGGATGCTGGACCACTACAATAAATCGCGGCGAAGCATGCCCAATTGATGACAATATAATTGGTTAGCAAAAATACAGAGCGTAGAAAGAAACTGGGGTTCAGTATCTTCCTTTAAAAAATATATAATGAAAGGTAGAGCAAGGGAAGCAGGGGAGGAGGGGGGTTCGAAGCAAGAGAAAAAAGGGATGGACTACTGAAGAGGCAGTCGGTGGCAGTGAGGACGGGGAAACTCCCCTCCCCCGGACTTCTCCCCTTTAGCCGCTCATGCCGTCGAGCTGATGAAGGTGACCGTACTGTCGTCGTTACCCATTGCAATTGTGGGCGTGAAATGGTCTATAGCGAGAGCCGTGACGGGAGCCACCCGTTGGCTCAGGATACCCGTGTGACGCTGTGCGTGTCCGATATTGTTGAAATTCATATCCCATACCTTGACCATGTGATTGCTGGCACGTTCCGGCCGCGCACCACCGTTCATCGATGAAGGGTGGGAGGCCGGAGAGTACGTTGACACCGAACCTGCCGTGGCCGACGACAATGACGGCGACGCGAGGTTCGCACTGGCACCACTTCCGACCGCACTGCCGCCGCCGCCGCCACCACTACCACTGCTGCCGGATGAAGGAGCGGCGGTAGCGAAGATGGGGAGATTATCATGGACAACCATATGGTTCAGCACACCGGATCCGTGGACAGCCAATGGGGACTGCTTCAGGCCACCTGCCCGGAGATCCCAGAGGCGAACGCGACCGTCCGTGCTGGCCGACAGAAACTCATGAGTGTAACCGACCTGGAGGCCCAGTTGCACCACGGTGTACGGGTTAGGCTCCCCGAAGCTACGTACGGGGCCGGGCGTCTCCCCCTGGCGGTCATCGTAGACCCGGACCACGCCGTCCGACCCGCCGCAGTAGAGGAGGTGCCCATTGTACTGGTCGGCCGTGACCGCACAGACGCTGCCCATGGTCTTGGACTGAATACTACGCACGCAGCGTTCCTGAGCGAGGTCCCACACATTGATACGGCTGGCGGACCCCGTCACATACAGACGCCCCGTCTTCTGGACCCAGGCCGTGAGCAGCCGGGACGGCCGCCGCCGATCGTGAGTGGGTTCCGCAAAGTTCTGCCATCCGGTCACCATCTCGCAGCGTTCTCGATCAGTGTAGTTTTGGAAGAAGCGCAGGGTGCCGTCGTGGGTACCCACCATGAGCAGGCCGTAGTCCATCTCGTTAATGACCTGCAGCGTGGTGATGCGCGGCTGCTGCGGTAAGAGTAGCGCAGCCACCCCCGAGGATTGGGACGCGGCGGCCGCCGTTCCGGTGTGGTGACCCGAAAAGAAATAGGACGCCGCTGCCGCCGGCTCTCGACCTCCAGCACCGGGCGTGCTCGCTGCCGTGTGGGTAGCCGATGAAGCAGCAGTGTTTGCCGGAGGAACCGGCGGTCCAGCAGCGGCAGAGAGTGGCGGAATGGCACCGTTGAGCATCGACGTAATGTGCAGGGTGTGTAGCCGGGTCTGGCTCTGGTGGTCGTAGATTGACACGTTCTGGAGTCCGTCGGACAGTATCAGTTGGGGCTCGTAGCGGTGGAAAGTGAGCAGGTACGGGACAAAGTTAACTGCCATGTGATGTTGCTTGAACCACCGTGTGCGATCCGTGTAGTGTGCCCGGGCGGCCTCGAAACTGGTCACCACATTATCGTTGCGGGACTTGCGCCAGGCGCTGGCCAGATACTGTTCAGAGCCCTCCTGCTGCTCCTCGGGTTTGCGCAGGTACGGTTCGGTGGCCAGGAGGGTCTGCCATTCCAAAAACTTGCTCACGAGCGGCAGTTCGATCGGAGGCGGGAAGACCGGAAGGCGGGCCAGTATCTCTAACAGCACGTCCAAAGATAGGCCCGCGGGCAGGGGCGGGAGATGACCACCGGTATGTGTGAACGGAGCGGCATGCGGGGTGCCCGCGGCGGTAGCCGACTCGTCCCGCAGACCGAGACCCGAGAGGTCCGCGGCGAGCTGCGAGTCAAGGGAGCGCAAGGAGGGATCCTCATAGGAGTACACAGCGGACTGGCGGTTGACCGCCGCTAGGCCCTGGGAGCCGGCGAAGGTTTCGGTACCCGGGGTGGGCGGCGAGTGGTTGTTTGAGCGGACCATCTGGAACCGCATTTGGGCCGGGGTCGGGGTAAGCGGGGGCGGGTCGGCGCTGCTGTCTATGGCGGTCCCGCTACCGGCAGCCAGATTGTACATGAGATTAATAGTGGACGACGCGGACCGCTTGAGGCTCTTAGTCAACTTGGCTGTGATCCCGACAGGCTCGGCCGTGCGACCACGGGTGGGAGTGGGCGGGTGGGTGCGTGTCCGGGGGGCCACGTTCCGAGTGGGGAGCGAGGCCGTGGTAGTCACGGACGACGATAGGGAACTGTTGCCTGACTCGCTGCGCGAGTACGCATCTTGGGCCCCACCGGCCGCCTCGTGGCCGTACTTGGTGGCCGCGTGGGTTAACGCCTCTAGCGTGGCGGCGGCGGCGTCAGTCGAGGAGTGACGACCCAAACTGCTGGTGCGCCCGGGGCTGGTCGGCGACGTGGCGCCGTGAGTCGGGGAACTGAGGGAAAGGTGGTGAGACACGGACCGTGGCCGCGGAGTGGGTGCGCCGAATTCGACGGGGGTATTGCCCCCGTGGGTGGCCAGCGTTTCGCTCACCACCTCCACAGTGGCCATCAGGGGCTGTAGTACAAAATCGAGCACCATCGCGGCCAGCTGGGCCACTTCGGCCACGGGATCTGCCGACAGACGGATGAGTGTGCGCCAGACGGCTAGGCCCATCTCATGCGGAACCTGGTCGGCGGCGCAGAG